CTACAAGGCTGATATTTGCCTTGGATGTTGTTTCAAATGAATTATGATGAAGATACTCAAAGAAACCCAGAGAAAACAGAATTCACAATCGAACCGTAGCGAAACCGAGCAAATTACGATGAAAACTCCGAGATTGAATTTACATCGAATAAGCTTGAAGTAATCACTTGATATGAATCCAAATACAATAAAACTCCAGAAAAGCAAGAAGAATTAGCAAGATGATAATGGTTAAGATCAAGAGAAATCACTTTCAATGAAGAAGTTGCTACTCTTTAATGGAGGATTTGAGCTCTAGTATGGTTTGGGAAGAAATAGAAGATGAATATGAGTAGAAGTTGCAAAAAAAATCGAAGAGAATGTTAGATAATTGAGAGTGATCAAGTGTGAAGAATGGTCAATCCTTTGAAAAATGGCAGTGATTTGCTTATATAGAGTTTTTCTTTGGAGTTGCTAGGTTTGGAGTGAGCTTTGGAAGTAAATTTGGAACTAGCCCTGGAGTTAGTTAGCCTCAAGTCACTGAGTTGGAGGTTAACTCAGTTAGTTAGGTAGTTGACTCGGTAACCATCCCCATGCAAACTTGAATAAAAGGGATCATATGCTAGGAAATGTAGCAACATGATGGTCTCAATCCAAATTAATGTATTTGAGTAAATGCCTTGAAGTGTTTAGAAAAGTCTTGAAATGTCTATAGCTGTCTAGAATGTTTCACACAATGCTAGAACCAAGTAGCCCAAAAAATGTGAAGTGCAGGTTGCTGTCTTAAAAATGCAGCAGATTCTACATTTTTTTACAAGGGTTAATCGATTAACCCATTTGCATTAGCAAATGGTTGATCGATTAACTAGGTCAAATTTTGCCCAATTTGCCTGAAAAATGATGTTGTGGTCACAACTTCGATTTTCGACCTTTTGCTTTGATGTATAGGTGTAGAAACCACTGTTTCGTGCTTGTGTTGATGATGTAATATCTTTGAGAGGATCTGATTAATCAGGCTTGGAAAACCTGAATATTCCTACAACAAAGTTTACAAAGAAAAAGATGTGACTGCGTATGTTAGTGATGCGAATGCACATGCTTATGCAAAATCTAAAGGGAGGTAAAATTTCAGGTTACGACAATCATTGAAACTTGTTTTAAGCTCTTGATTAAGATGAGATCGTTAACTCTTTTCTTTTCGTGTGGTATTTCTTTTCGAAGAGTGATATACGTATCACTTCTCTATCATACATTAGCACTAATATTGTTATTGACTAGCCTCAGATAGTCATGACTTCTATATAAATTTGATTACGATTGCTTAATAAAGCACTACATGTGTCCCGTATCGCAGAATGATCATTCGTGGCTCAAACTTATGTTTGAAAGTCCAAGTATGGTTGATTATTTGTCTTGGGTTCATTACTTATGAAACTTATTGTTAGGAGACTTTGATTTTATCAATCCTCTAATGAGTTTTCATTAACTTTGGCCTAAGTTAATTATATAACCATCGTTGATAATTTGTTCTAACAACTAATCACTAACTCACTAACAATATTATTGTACTAATTATTTTATGCTTCTTTCTCGCTCTCTATCTCTCTTTTATTTTTATGCTCCATTATTATCATCTTATATCATATAATTGTTTATGCTTTCGCCCTCTTTTTCTTTTGTTCACTTGGACCATATCTTGTTCAAAACACTAATAAATGATTAAACTCTTAAAAAATATTTTTCTCTTAATGGTGAACTGTGGTTACTATCCTTTGCATTGGACATGGAACTTTGGACCTAGAATTAGGATTTTAACCTATGTTTGGAAGTCTGTGATATCAAACCTTGGATTTTAGGTACTTGGAGTTCTCTTTTGAAGGCTTATTTTGATCAAGGCCAAATCTAAAGGAAAATATGCTTATTTTGTGAAGCTTGCTTGTGTAGTTAGACCGTTCTTATCCATAGCTTTTATCTTTTTTGCTTTAGAATAGTCGTTTCTTCTTCGCCCATTCTTCAATTTTCAAATCTTCATCTTTTTTCAAAATCTTTCTTGTTTTCGAACTACAACCTCTTTCACAATAAACCTTACCTTTTGTCAAGTGCTTTTTTAAACTTCATTTTCTTTAATAAATGTCAATCAATGTTAATCATACTTTGACTCTTTTCAAAAAGACATAAAAAATATTCAAACTCATTCAAGCCTTTGTGCCTTATGCACTTTTTCTTTTAAAATTTTTCCATAAGTCTAGACATGAGTCATCTCTTTAAGCGGAACTATTCGTTTGAAAATGACGACTAGTCTTTTCACTTAAAATCAACCATAATAAACCTATTTTTTTATTTGTACCACGAACTACGGAGTTTTGATCCTATATTGCACTTTGTGGGTACGTAGGCATTAGGTTCAAAAAGTCTCTCCAAACACAAAAATCTTAAAAAATATTTCTCTTCTCATCTCCCCAATCTCACTTCAAACAAATCTTTTCAAACCAAAAAACATAGATATTTTAAAGGGTTTCTATAGAGTACTATAGACGTTTTCCTGCTAACACCTTCCCTTCCCTTAACGTAACCAACCCCCTTACCCAGTCTCTGTTCTTTTGTTCTCGTTTAAAATTTTCTTAGAATTTGTTCGCTCTTTTTCCTTTCCTTTTGGATAAAACAAAAGTGTGGTGGCAACTCTTGCTTTACGAGTTAAGATAATCAATAACTTACACTCATAATTTTTGCTGCTACACAATCAATTCATTCTTGAGCTGCCCATAAGTTTCATGGCATAACTGTTACAAGTCAAAAATAATTTTTGGTGCAAAGTAAAAGAGATTCGAGCAATTGCAAGTAATGCCAATTAGTTATAAAGTAGCAATTTTCATGTCAAATTTATTTAAAAGCAATAAATTCAGTACATAATACAAATAATATATTTTCATGTATGACATGACAACACAAAAATCTTGGATATGTCATTCTTGTTTTTATTATATTTTAAATAAAATTTATATGAAAAAGATTTAAATATTATGTATTTTTTCTTCATGTTAACAATATAATACAAAGACTTAAAAATAGTACGTAGCTCTGTGTTAGATGCTTTTTTCACGCCAGAAGTTTTTTTTTGTCTAAATTATATGAAAAATGCTATTCTTACACTAAAAAATGACACTACACCCAATTTACTGTTTACAAATACGTGGACAACATTTTCATATTATTTTGACTATATAAAATTTTTTTTGAAAAATTAGTTTGGTTAATGAAATATTAAAACTTGGTTAATACAGTTCAAAGTTTGGTTAATATAAATTCTGATAAATATATATCATTCAAAATTTTGTTAATATTATGTATATATATTTATAATTTAGTCTCAGAATATGATTAATAGTATGTATTTTATTGGTAAATGAAGTATCAATTTTTATGTCAAATTTATTTAAAAGTGATAAATTCAGTACATAATACAAATAATATATTTGCATGTATGACATGACAACATTAGAATCTTGGATATGTCATTCTTGTGTTTATTGTATTTTAAATAAAATTTATATTGAAAAGATTTAAATATCCATATTTTTTTATTCATGTTAACAATAGAATACAAAGATTTAAAAATAGTATTTAGCTCTGTGTTAGTTGCTTTTTGCTTGCTAGAATTTTTTTTTTTTTTTTTTTGCCTAAATTGTATATAGCTCTATCCTATAATATAATATTAGAGTTTAACATAATACAATCCTACAAAATTGATTGTTAAGGTGAAAAGGGTCACTCTACATAAATTATTTCAACGTTATTTTTTTAATCAATGTGAGACTTTAGGATCTGATATCATATTAAAGTTTGATCTAACACAATCCTACAAAATCGGTTGGTAAGATGATGGGTGTCACTCTATATAAACTATTTCAATGCTCTATCTTCAAACAATGTGAAACTTTAGAATCTTTCTAACACATAAGAAACCATTGAGTTATAACATGTGAGTTTTATTTTTAAAGTTTATCACAATCCATACCATATATCAACCTGTTTTATGTGTATCATAAGTAATACTGCTTAATTAAAATTATGAGTTATACTTTGAAAGATTATAAATCCATGACATATATTAACCATTATGCTGCAAATTATATTTCTTTCCATCAATGTTGATGATTTGTTTTTCATAAAAAGCAGTCATACATAAATAGTATATGAACAAACTAATGTCTATGTTAATGCAAAAAGGTAAAATCAAACTTTGTAAATCGCACCTATGATAAACCATCCAAAAACAAACAAAAGTATAACATTGAAATAAAGCAACATCACTTTAAAAGCACATTATCTAGACTATACACAATCAATCAAACACTAAAAAAAACTCTATCTAATTGAAAGATAGAGAGAGAGGAAAAATGAAAAAGTGTGGAGATTCAAAATTCAAAGGCCGACTACATAAGAACAAATAATAATAATAATTTTTTTTATTAAAAATAAAAATAAAAATAAATAATAAAACCCTAAATAAAATTTTTTCAAGCCCAATTCTACGTATTTCTATATTAATATTCATCATTTTCTAATGTTCATAGCCTTTTTTCCATTAAATAGTGTTTTTTAATATATTTTTGGGTTTTCAATCTACGTTATATTAACACCTACAGAAAAAATATATTTAAATGAGTCAAATTTTAACACAAATTGATCAATGCACACATTACAAATATCTAAAGTTTTCAAATATTTAGCAAGTAAAACAATGCTACGTGTAATATAATTGGATATGAAGATGGAATTTAATTTGGTACATTTGTTAATTACATATTAGTCCTTTTAATAGTGTAACTTTTGATAACAGAAAGATAAATTTGGAAGTGCATATAATTGGTTTTTGATAGATAGATAGTAGGTAGTAGATTCTGCCAAATATTCTTTTTTCTTTCTTTCAGTTTTCGGTTTTCAGTTTTGTTTCTGCTCATTTAAATTTCAGTTTCTGAATCCAAACGAAACCTCACACAATACATTGAGAAGAGACGGAGATGGAAGCTTCGATTTCTGCAGTGGAGATAATAATCGGTTACAGTTTTCAAAACAAGAAGCTTCTTGAACAAGCCCTTACCCATACTTCTTACCCTGAATCTGTTTCTTACGAGCGTCTTGAGTTCTTCGGCGACGCTGTTTTAGGTCTCGCCATCAGCAACCATCTCTTCCTCTCTCACTCCTCCGTTGATACTGGTACACTCTCCCTCCTCCGTGCCGCTAATGTTAGCACTGAGAAACTCGCTCGCGCTGCCGTTCGTAATGGTCTGCACCATTATATCCGTCATAACACGCTTTCCATTTTTAATAATATTAACGAGTTTGTTGATGCCGTTAGTCTTGAGGATGATTCTGTTGTTGTTAAGTATGGTGGTTCCGTCAAAGCTCCAAAGATTCTTGCTGATATTGTCGAGTCTATTGCTGCTGCCGTTTATGTTGATGTTCATTTCGATCTTCAAAGATTATGGGTGGTATGATTTGTTTTTCTAAGCTATTTCAATTTGTTAGCATTTCAATTATGTGTTTTGATAGTAGAAGGATCATAGCAATTAGGATGAATGATTTTGTGGCATTTTTAAGATTCTGAAATTTTGGCAAGAAAAGTTTCAGTTTTCTCAATTTCTTTATGCGTTATTCTTGTTGTTTAAACTCCAACCTATTCTTGCTTAAAGAGTGTTGTAATTTTTGTTGGCAGATAATAAGAGGTGTTTTGGAGCCGATACTGACACTTGATGATTTGGAACATAAACGGCAACCTGTGACGATGCTTTTTGAGATCTGCCAAAAAAATGGGAAAAAAGTTGAAATACAACAGCAGAGGGATGGTGCCCAAAGCGCTGCATGTGTCTATGTTGATGGGAAGTTGATTGCATCCGCTTCCTCCGATCAACGGGGTATTGCTAGGCTTGAAGTTGAAGCTGCCAAGGCTGCCTTGCGTAAGCTAAAAAGCTTACTGCCTGCCACTACCGTGATGCCTGAATGTCGTGTTGGCATTGATGACACTTTTGAAGTTGAAACTGCCAAGAAAAAATTATACGCAATTTGTGGCGTGAAAAAGTGGCCCAGACCAGTATACAGGTAAACACAGCTAGCCCGCAACTATAATTTTCAATGGCATTTTGAAAGAAAAACATTCATTTATAGTCTTGATTTCATTTTCTCTATATAATAGTCCCACTTCTACCTGTCCTGGTTTCCTTGCTAGAATAATTTGGAATTATATGTCAGGTTTGAGAATCCAAAATATGACGGGGATGAGAGTATTATTTTGTAAAATTGTGTTTTTGTTAACTGGGACAATTTGCCTGCATTTGTAAAGTGCCTTCATATCCCTAGTCACATGGTCTAGACACAAAGAAACCCGATTGTGGTGTACAACTCAAATTGGGATGATTATCCATTCCTTCCGGTGAATGGTTCACATCCATTTATAAAGTCTTATTTCATCTAATCAATAGGAGACAAATTTCAAATCATAGGATCAATAGTTAATTCTTTCATAAGTCTAGTTCATCTAATTGACCTTCCTTGTTATTTCTAATTTGTTATTTGATTTCTTGCTTATCTATGGTGTTTTACAGCATTATGAAAGATGAAGGCACTCCTCAAGATAAGAAATTTGTCAGTGCTGTTCGGATAGTTACTCCAACTGCCACACTTCAAATGCCAGGAGATGAGAAATCTCGGGTGAAGGATTCTGAGAACTCTGCAGCTTCCGTGATGATTCGGGCCTTACAATATCACAAATTTGTGTGAATTTGTGAGAAAGGCATATTGAGTTGTACTCTGAAAATACTAGTAGGTAGTTGTAGAGATGAATATAAAAATGTTTGTATGAATATAGAAATGTTCAAAAATAAATAAGACTTGATATACAACAACAAAAGATATAACTGATGCTATTTTTTCTGGATCATATTTTTTTTTTCATTTCTTCAATTCTAGTAGTATTAAAAGATCAATGAAACCTTGTTCTCTACTTTAAGTATAATACTCTACCATCTCCAGTTTTTCTCTCTTAACATTGTGAGAACTCATTTAGAAGAAAAACCCACTCTTCCTTTTTAATCTGGATTAAAGTATTTGTAAGGTTATACAAAGGAGATTCAATTACTTTTTACCTTCGTAATACAACTGCGACTCTCAGCAAGGGTAAGAAGATCCTTAGCACTGAGCCTCCAAATTTAGGGGCCTCATTTTTTTATTAAATTAAAACAAAATATATATTTAATGTTATATTATATAAATTAAAGTTTGTAAAATGGACGCAATTTTCACTTGTTGAGCGGAAGAATAATAATGTTATATTAAATAAGAATTTCAAGTGGAGCAACGCATTGGACGATTATATTCTGGTTCTTTTTTTTCCGTATTTCAGTCAAGTTTCTGGTTTAAACTTGCCTAATGGAAGCGAGGTTCTAGGCGTGGTGATTTTGATGACTATTTGATGGGTTATGGACTGGAAGAACTTATTGAACCACTCACCACGAATGATCGGCGTGGTCCACCCCAGCTGCACAACCTTCAATTGGTGTAATGCTTACTATTAGGATCACACAGGCGCGTCTTCGCTCAGATTCACATTGTCCGGTCTGTAAAGAAAAAGTCGAACTTGGTTCTGAAGCAAGAGAGATGCCATGCGACCATATTTACCAATCTGATTTATTATTTCTTGGTTGGTTCAACATAACTCGTGTTCTATTTGGCGTGTCGAGCTTTCACCACAAGAATAAGTTAGTTCTCGTGGTGGTGGTGGTGATAGTCGAAGTTGTCGAGCTTCCACCATATTTCCGTTTCTGTGGCCATTCAATTCGTCTTCTAATTCAAACAATAATCAAATATTCCGAGGGAAGCATTTCTTCAACCATGCAAAATGGGCAGTTAATAAGAATATCAATATGATGAAGATGCTTTCTCAGATGTGCTAGAAGCTCTCAAATAATTCAGAAAGAATAACATATTCTGAGCAACCGTACACGTGATTACACTTAATCACATCAAATTTTCAAATTATAATTATTATCGGAACGTTGATATAACATAATCCAATGTAAGAAGTCTAGAAAATCAAAGTTTTAAAACCTTGACTGAGTACAAAATTGTGTATAAATTAATGTTTTAAAAATCAGACCTGAGATTGAACGAGCGAAATTTGCGATTTAAGATTTAATTGATTTAACCGATTAAGTTTACAGTCGAACCGTTTATTAAAAGGTTAACAATATAAAATTAAATTTCATAAATATGTCAATTATATGTTCACAACTTAATAAAATAAATATTTCAAAAATTCATTACCAATTTAGTAAAATGATATCAATAATACATAATATAATATGGTTCTACACTTCATTTCAACAATCATTAAACTAATTCAAATCAAAATTAAAATAATAGAATATAAATAAACTTCAGATAATTAAAAATATCTAAACTAAATAAGATAGAATACTAAAAAATAAATAATTAAATATATTTTATTAAACAAAAAAAAAAATCGAATTTGAGTTGAGCTATGACAAACAAGTCTTAATTGACAACAACAAACAATATTAACTTAACGACAATCAATATTGAGTTGGACATCGTGACTATGTTTAAAAGAGAGGAAATAATGATGTTCGAGTGTGGTTGAAAAAAAATATTAGAGTGGAGTGACAAAACTTTCTTTTTTGTTATTGAAGAATATATGTTAAGTTTTGATATTAACATATTAAAATATAAAAAAATGGTCAATTTGATGTATTTTTTTGAACTAAGCGGTTTTATAAAATCGAATTCTTTGTTTCAAATGGTTTTGGACGGTTCAATCCGATTTTACTTCGGTTTTGACCCATTAACGATTTGGAAAGGTTGACCCAACCATATTCATCTCCGATTCCCAATCTAACTGGTTAAACCGTCCAGTTCGGTTCGGTTTTTAAAATATTGATTTAAATACTAAATAGAAAATCACTCAAATATAAGTAAAATTATGTAAGAAAATTTCAAAAATTTTAGCTTAAAGAGCTTACTACAAGAGCTACAAAAAAAAAACGGATGATTTCAATTACAAGAACGCCATTAATTGTACTAATAAAGCCCTTGCTACAAATTACAACCAAATATTGTCGGTTAGAGGATATACACTGTCACTTGAGATTAAAAGTATGTTTAGTGTTTGACACGACATCGATAGTCGTGGTTACATTCAATTATTTGTCACTTTTGTTTAATTATTATTTGTGTGTAAGTGTCGTCCAATGTTTTAAAAATCAGATCGGTCATCAAACCGGTGAAGGTACTGAGTTGTTGGTTCATTGGTTGAACTATTGGGTCAGTAGTCGAACCACATGACTAAATTGTTAGAAATATTTTATATTTTACAAAATTTAGTGACTAAGCTTTGTTAGAGGGTAATTTAGTACTTTAGTATGTTGCCTATGTGGCCTTAGTTTTCTGTGCATAAATAGACTAGTGGTAGATGTCATTTAATGTAATTCTTTCTTACAACTTTGTAGCCGTCATTTGCAGAATATAATGTATTCTTTCATTCCATTCATCTCTTTCAATCTTGTACACCAACAATTGGCATCAGAGCTCAAGAGAAAACATAACTCACAACCGAACCGTAGCGAAACCGAGCAAATTACGACGAAAACTCCGAAACTGAATTTACACCGAATAAGCTTGAAGTAATCACTTGAGATGAATCCGAATACAATAAAACTCCAGAAAAGCAAGAATAATTATCAAGATGATGATGGCTAAGCTCAAGAGAAAGCACTTCCAATGAAGAAGTTGCTACTCTTTAATGGAGGATTTGAGCTCTAGTGTGGTTTGGGAAGAAAGAGAAGATGAATATGAGTAGAAGATGCAAAAAATTCAGAGAGAATGTGATAAAATTGAGAGTGATCAAGTGTGAAGAATGGTCGATCCCTTGAAAAATGAAGATGATTTGCTTATATATAGTTTTGCTTTGGAGTTTCTAGGTTTGGAGTGAGCTTTGGAACTAGCCCTGGAGTTAGTTAGCCTCAAGTCACTGAGTTGGAGATTGACTCAGTTAGTTAGTTAGTTGACTCGGTAGCCATCCCCATGCAAACATGAATAAAAAGGCTAGCTATGCTAGGAAATGAAGCAACATGGTGGTCTCAATCCAAATTAATGTATTTGAGTAAATACATTGAAGTGTTTAGAAAAGTCTTAAAATGTCTAGAGCTGTCTAGAATGTTCCACACAATGCTAGAACCAAGTAGCCCAAAAAATGTGAAGTGCAAGTTGCTGTCTTGAAAATGCAGCAGATTCTACATCTTTTGCAAGGGTTAATCGATTAACCCATTTGCATTAGCAAATGGTTAATCGAGTAACCAGGTCAAAAATTGCCCAATTTATCTAAAAAATAATGTTGTGGTCACGACTTCGATTTTCGACCTTTTGCTTTGATGTATAGGTGTAGAAACCCTTGTTTTGTGCTTGTGTTGATGGTATAATATCTTTGAGAGGATGTGATTAATCGGACTCAAAAAACTTGAATATTCTTGCAAAAAAGATTACAAAGAAAAAGATGTGAATGCGTATGCCAGTGATGCAAATTCACATGCTTATGCAAAAGCTAAAGGGAGGTCAAATTTCGGGTTACGACAATCATTGGAACTTGTTTTAAGTACTTGATGAAGATGAGATCATTACCTCTTTTCTTTTCGTGCGATATTGCTTTTCGGATAGTGATCTACATATCACTTCTCTAGCATACATTAGCATTAACATTGTTATTAACTAGGCTCATATAGTCGTGGCTTCTACATAAATTCAATTACGATTGCTTAACATAACGCTACATGTGTCCTGTATCAGAGAATGGTCATTCGTAGCTCAAACTTATGTTTGAAAGTCCAAGTATGGTTGATTATTTGTCTTGGATCCACTACTTATGAAATTTGTTGTTAGGAGACTTTGATTTTATCAATCCTCTAATGAGTCTTCATTAACTTTGGCCTAAGTTCATTATTTAACCATCGTTGATCATTTGTTCTAACAACTAATTACTAACCCACTAACAATATTATTGTACTGATTTTTTTATGCTTCTTTCTCGCTCCCTATCTCTCTTTTATTTTTATGCTCCATTATTATCATCTCATATCATATTACTATTTGTGCTTCCGCCCTCTTTTTCTTTTGTCTACTTAGACCATATCTTGGTCAAAACACTAATAAATGATTAAACCCCTAAAAGAAGCTTGTTCTCTTAATCGTGGACTATGGTAACTATCCTTTGCACTGGACATGGAACTTTGGACCTAGAATTAGGATCTTAACCTATGCTTGGAAGCTTGTGATATCAGACCTTGGATTTTGGGTACTTGGAGTTCTCTTTTGAAGACTTATTTTGATCAAGGCCAAATCTAAAGGAAAATATGCTTATTTTGTGAAGCTTGCTTGTGTGGTTAGACCGTTCTTATCCTTAGCTTTTATCTTTTTTGATTTAGGATAGTCACTACTTCTTCTTCGCCCCTTCTTTAATTTTCAAATCTTCTCCTTTTTTCAAAATCTTTCTTGTTTTCAAACTATAACCTCTTTCACAATAAACCTTGACTTTTGTCAAGTGCTTTTTCAAACTTCCTTTTCTTTAATAACTGTCAATCAATGTTAATTATACTTTGACTCTTTTTAAAAAGACATAAAAAATATTCAAACTCATTTAAATCTTTTATGCCTTATGCACTTTTCCTTTTAAAACTTTTTCATAAGTTTAGACATGAGTCATCTCTTTAAGCGGAACTATTCATTTGAAAATGACGACTTGTTTTTCACTTAAAATCAACCATAATAAACCTATTTTGTTATTTGTATCCAGAACTACAGAGTTTTGATCCTATATTGCACATTGTGGGTACGTAGGAATGAGGCTAAAAAAGTCACTCCAAACACAAAAATCTTAAAAAATATTTCTCTTCTCATCTCCCCAATCTCACTTCAAACAAACATTTTCAACCAAAAAACATAGATATTTCAAAGGGTTCCTATAGAGTACTATAGACATTTTGGGTGCTAACACCTTCCCTTAGCGTAACCAACTCCCTTGCCCACTCTCTGTTCTTTTGTTCTCGTTTAGAATTTGCTTAGGTTTTGTTCCTTCTTTTTTCTTTCCTTTTGAATAAAATAAAAGTGCGGTGGTTACTCTTGTTTTACAAGTTAAGATAATCAATAGCTTACACTCACGATTTTTGCTGCTACACAATCAATTCATTCTTGAGCTGCCCATAAGTTTCATGGCATAACTGTTACAAGTCAAAAATAATTTTTGCTGCAAAGTAAAAGAGATTCGAACAATTGCAAGTAATGCCAATTAATTATAAAGTAGCAATTTTCATGTCAAATTTATTTAAAAGTAATAAATTCAGTTCGTAATACAAATAATATATTTTCATGTATGACATGACAACACAAAAATCTTGAATATGTCATTCTTGTCTTTATTGTATTTTAAATATAATTTATATGAAAAAGATTTAAATATTATGTATTTTTTCTTCATGTTAACAATATAATACAAAGATTTTAAAATAGTATGTAGCTATGTGTTAGATGCTTTTTCCATGCCAGAAACTTTCTTTTGCCTAAATTATATGAAAAATGCTATTCTTAAATCAAAAAATGACATTACACCTAATATACTGTTCACAAATACGTGAACAATATTTTTTTTTTTATCATTTTGACTATATAGTAATTTTCAAAAAAATTAGTTTGGTTAATGAAATATTAAAATTTGGTTAATACAGTTCAAAGTTTGGCTAATATAAATTTTGGTTAATATATATCATTCAAAATTTTGTTAATATTATGTATATATTTATAATTTAGTCTCAGAACATGGTTAATAGTAGGGGTGGTAAAATGAATGGATTAGATGGATATGGATTGGATTGTTAATGAATGGATCGAAACAATCCATTAGTCCATTAACAATCCACTGAAATTTTTAAAAAATTATCCAATTCAATCCATCTGTTAAGAATAAAATTCATCAAATCCATTCATTAACATATTTTTAATGGATAGATATCCTCTATCCAACTTTTTTTTTATTTCAAAAAAATAAACATATTTTTTATTTTTAAAAAATCGATTTTATTTTATTTTTGAAAAATTCATTTTTTTTGTATTTAAAAAAAATGTTTTTTAATATATCCATGAAAAAAATTGAACTTTTTGTTAAAAAAAAATTATTTTTTTTGTATTTTCAAGAAAAAATAAATCATTTTTTTGTATTTTTTAGAAAAAAATTGATATTTTAATTTTTGAAAAATATTAGTTTTTTTTTTGGGAAAATTTGAATTTCTTATATTTTTCAGAAAATTGATATTTTAATTTAAAAGAAAATCGTTTTTTTATCGGAAAAAAATTGATTTTTTTTTGCAAAAAAAAAATGAGTTTTTTATTTTGGAAAAAAAACCGATTTTTTTTTTGAGAAAAAAAACAATTTTTTTTGGAAAAATTTCGGATTTTTTATTGGAAAAAATCAATTATTTTCTTTAAAAAAATTTATTTTTAATTATTTTTAAAACTAAAATAATTTATTAGATTCTTAAAATATATTGGATGGATTGAATCGATCCATGCATATAAATGTATGTATTTAATCCAATCTATTAACTTATTTTTTATGTGGTGGATGAATTAGATGAATTTTTTGATGGATGAATTGGATGAATTTTGCTTTAATGAATTCAATTGTCACCTCTAGTTAATAATATGTATTTTATTGATTAATAAAGTAGTGAAAATGGTTAATGAATTATAGGTAAAATAACTGGTTAATGATGTAGATTTTTGTAGTTAATGCAATTGTGAAGTTGGTTAATGACGCAATCTTATATTTGTGTTATAAAATAAATTTTAAAAATAAATATTTTTTTTAAAAGAAAGTATGTCAAACAAAAGTATGTCAAAAGAAAGCTTCTCATCTATTTTATGGTATTTCCTTTCTTTTGTTTTTCAACTCCTGCTGTATGTTTTGGAGCTCTTCATTGAAACAAAGCAACATCACTTTAAAAGCACATTACCTAAACTATACCCAATCAAGTACAAACACTCAAAAAAGCTCTATCTAATTGAAAGATAGAGAGAGAGTAAATGAAAAAGAGTGGAGATTCAAAATTCAAAGGCTAACTACATAAGAACAAATAATAATAATTTTTTTATTAAAAGTAAAAATAAATAATAAAAATGAAATCCCTAAATAAAATTTTTCCAAGCCCAATTCTACATATTTCTATATTAATATTCATCATTTTCCAATGTTTATAGCCTTTTTTCCCATTAAATAGTGTTTTTTTAAAATATATTTTTGGATTTTTCAATCTATGTTATATTAACACCTAGAGAGAAAAAAATATTTAAATGAGTCAAATTTTAACACAAATTAATCAATGCACACATTACAAATATTTAAAAACCTCAAAATCACATTACCACGTCTCATAGTATAACTTAGATTTAAACACTCCCTAGTTTCTTTACAAATCCTAGAGAAGAACAAAACTATTGAATATTAAATACTACAAAGCAACAAAGTAAAACATTAAACATTGAAACGATTTAACACTTCCAAGATATTAAACCATTTAAAAAAAAAAGTTACGTCAACAAACCATAAAATGTAATTTTTAGTTCATTTAGTTTAACAAATCACAAAAATTACATATAATGAAATTTGAAGCTTCTGGAGTGAGAACAGAAAGGGTAAATTTGGAATTGCATATAATTGGTTTTTGATAGATAGATAGTAGATAGTAGATTCTGCCAAATATTCTTTTTTCTTTCTTTCAGTTTTCAGTTTTCAGATAAAAAGTGTTTTCAGTTTTCAGATAAAAAGCGTTTTCAGTTTTGTTTCTGCTCATTTAAATTTCAGTATCTGAATCCAAACGAAACCTCACACAATACATTGAGAAGAGACGAAGATGGAAGCTTCAATTTCTGCAGTGGAGAAAATAATCGGTTACACTTTTCAAAACAAGAAGCTTCTTGAACAAGCCCTTACCCATACTTCTTACCCTGAATCTGTTTCTTACGAGCGTCTTGAGTTCATCGGCGACGCTGTTTTAGGTCTCGCCATCAGCAACCATCTCTTCCTCTCTCACTCCTCCGTTGATACTGGTACACTCTCTCTCCTCCGTGCCGCTAATGTTAGCACTGAGAAACTCGCTCGCGCCGCCGTTCGTAATGGTCTACACCCTTATGTCCGTCATAACACGCTTTCTATTGTTGATATTATTAACGAGTTTGTTGATGCGGTTAATTCTGAAGATGATTGTGTTGTTGTTAAGTATGGTGGTTCCGTCAAAGCTCCAAAGATTCTTGCTGATATTGTTGAGTCTATTGCTGCTGCGGTTTATGTTGATGTTGATTTCGACCTGAAAAGATTATGGGCGGTATGATTTGTTTTTCTCAGTTATTTCTATTTGTTAGTATTTCAATTCTGTGTTGATAGTAGAAGGATAATGGCAATCAGGATGAATGATTTTGTGACATTTTTAAGATTGTGAAATTTTGGCAAGAAAAGTCTCAGTTTTCTCAATTTGTACCTGCGTTATTCTTGTTGTTTAAACTCCAACCTATTCTTGCTTAAAGAGTTGTTTTGACCCAACAACTTTGTCACTTGTTTGTAATTTTTGTTGGAAGATAATAAAAGGTGTTTTGGAGCCGATAGTGACACTTGATGATTTGGAACATAAACCGCAACCTGTGACCATGCTTTTTGAGATGTCCCAAAAAAATGGGAAAAAAGTTGACATACAACAGCAGAGGAATGGTGCCAAAATCACTGCAAGTGTCTATGTTGATGGGGAGTTGATTGCATCCGCTTCCTCTGATCAAAAGGATATTGCTAGGCTTGAAGCTGCCAAGGCTGCCTTGCATCAGCTGGAATGCTTACTGCCTGCCACTACCGTGATGCCTGAATGTTGTGTCGGCATTGATGGCACTTTTGAAGTTGAAGCTGCCAAGCAAAAATTATACGCAATTTGTGGCATGAAAAAGTGGCCCAGACCAGTATACAGGTAAACACGGCTAGCCCACAACTATAATTTTCAATGGCATTTTGAAAGAAAAACATTCATTTATAGTCTTGATTTCATTTTCTCTATATAATAGTCCCACATCTACCTGGTTTCCTTGCTAGAATAATTTGGAATTATGTGTCAGGTTTGAGAATCCAAAATATGACGGGGATGAGAGTATTATTTTGTAAAATTGTGTTTTTGTTAACTGGGACAATTTGCCTGCATTTGTAAAGTGCCTTCATATCCCTAGTCACATGGTCTAGACACAGAGAAACCCGATTGTGGTGTACAACTCAAATTGGGATGATTATCCATTCCTTCCGGTGAATGGTTCACATCCATTTATAAAGTCTTATTTCATCTAATCAATAGGAGACAAATTTCAAATCATAGGATCAATAGTTAATTCTTTCATAAGTCTAGTTCATCTAATTGATCTTCCTTGTTATTTTTAATTTGTTATTTAAGTTAATTTGCTTGTGTCGAGCTTGTAATTTGATTTCTTGCTTATCTATGATGTTTTACAGCATTGAGAAAGATGAAGGCACTTCTCAAGATAAGAAATTTGTCAGTGCTGTTCAGATAGTTACTCCAGCTGCCACACTTCAAATGTCTGGAGATGAGAAATCTCGGGTGAAGGATGCAGAGAACTCTGCAGCTTCCTTGATGATTCGGGCCTTACAACATCACAAATATGTGTGACAATTGTCATAATTATGTATTTATTGTCTAGTATGCCCACAAGACTATGGCCTCCTGAAATACTAGTATTAAGTCTCTATTAATGTGTGAGAAAGGGATATTGAGTCTAACTGTACTTGTAGTCTGAAATACTAGTATTGAGTTTATGTTAGTTTTTAATTTGTGAGAAATGGATATTGAGTCTAATTGTAATTATAGTCTATGTTTAGTAAATTTTGATTTTAAATGATTTGATTTTATAAAATCAACTTTACTTATATAAGAGATGAATATAAATATGTTTGTGTTTGGATACATTTAGTTAAAAGGGGTTAAGGAGAAAGGATTGCCTCTTGCTTCTGCATCTACCTGACTTCTAAATACTCAAAAGTAAATAAGAAATTTGATATACAACAACAAAAGATACTGATGCTATTTTTTCCGTATTTTTTTCCCGTTTATTCAGTTCTTAATTCGTGTCCTGTTTGTCGTGTCGAGCTTCCAAACAAGGACAAGTTAGTTTATCGTGGTGGTGGTGGTAGTCGAAGTTAGGGAGGAAGGAATGGTGGCAACATCGGTGGAAATGGTAGCTTAAACTCAAATAGCAGGGAGAGTGACCATCAGAACAATGGAAGGAGAAATCCATTTTCGTTTCTGTGGCCATTCCGTTCTTCTTCGAATTCAAACAATAATCAATATTCCGAGGGAAGTAGTTCTTCAACCAATGCTGACCAGAATAATGAACTAGTTTCAATATTGGAATCAAAATGGACAGTTCATAAGAAAATATCAATATGATGAAGATGTTTTCTCAGAGGTGCTGGAAGTTCTCAATAATTCAGAAAGAATAACATATTCTGAACAACCAAAGACCATTAGTAGAGTTATCCTCCATTCTGGAACTAGTTAAGGTAGTTTAGTTTCACAGATGAAGATGAGTTTGAGTTCCTATCAGACCATGACATTGCAGCCGGAATAACTCCGAAAAGCAGCAACATTGTCATTGACAAGAAATAATGAAAAAACCTGTCCACTCAAATTTAGTCAGATTAAAAGGAATCATTCGGAACAATCTGAGTTCAAATCTTAACTATAACAATCGTTGTCCATATGTTACTTTTTTGGCTGAACTCTAGATTACCACTGTCCCCTTTAAGTGTGAGCGCAAATTGCACTTACATGTCTTAAGTTTCACACCAACAAATGAAGCATTGTTCATGTGAAACTAGTTGCTTAAGGGTCCAAGATACTTGGTAAGCGTAGAATTCACAAAAGAATCATATGTGATATGTGATCTATGCAGCACCGACACTTCAAATTTAAAATATATTTAGTGTCAGACATGTGTCAATATTCGACACTGTACACTTGACTAAACTTAATCGCATCAAATTTTCAAATTATCACCAGCATCAACATGTCAGTATTTGTCTTAGTGCTCCATAGTACGTGATAATACATAAAATAATTTCAATCTTGTCACCTTACTCTTAACAAGTCTCCTTTCAAGATTTGTTTGTACAGAGAACAGGTATTACATTATGAATAAGAATACAATCTAAGTGTTAAAACTTTATCCATTGTTCAACAAACGTTATGAGAAATTTTGACATCTTTGAAAATAGACGTGTTAGTGTCGCTGTCGGACATTGATATTTATGATTACATTTTATTTATTTATTTTTTTAAATTATGATTAATGTTGATGTGTTTAAATTATTATTAATGTTGGTGTGTCAGGGTTGTGTCCGTGCTTCATATTAGGGATGTTACCTGATAAGGAAATGAGAGTACAATAATTGGTATACTCATAGGTACTGCTTGGAAGTTGGCTTTTAAAAGAGCATTCAAATCAAGGTTTCCACTTGCAACTGCCCAATATAGAAAAATTAATTTTACTCTCAATATGAACAAATATGCTTATAAACTCAAAAGTAGAGAGATAAACAAACGCATACAAGAATACAACGATTGTGTCTACGCCTTCCATAACAAAATCTGTTGTAGTTTTTCTATTATGCAACGAATCATATATATATATATATATATATATATATATATATATATATATATATATATATATATATATATATATATATATATATATATATATATATATATATATATATATATATATATATATATATATATATATTTTAAATGTTAGGCAATGCCTCGAAACAATTCAAGTAAATTTTTAAGGAGAACGATATGCTTTAGTCACGAGTTAAAACCGTTCTTATATAAATTTTAATTATTTTAATTGTATATATATAATTCCCCATTCTCATTTGTTCAACTAAAATAATTAAATTATTTTTTTTTGTGTGAAATATCCTAGATGGAATCAAACCGAGTCATAAACACGCTTAAACAAATATTCCTCGGTCATTTTTCTTCTGACTTGGAGATTTCTTATCCCACCCTATAAAATAGAAAAACACTCATTAGATTTCGAAGATATATCTTCGAACACACATTGTCTTTCAACTTAAACGTTAACTGATTCGAAGATGCATCTACGTAATATATTAGAATATACACCATGCATTCCACCTTGAAGACATTTTACACGTTTATTATTTTAGAGATGCATCTTCGTTTAGAATTTATCGATATACATCTCTATATCCTATCAGAAAAGTGGATGTTATATTTCGTTTATATTTATTCAAATGAAGATGATGATTTATCCCACCCTATAGGGTAGAAGAAGACCCTATGAAAAACCCAAAACGTCCATTGGATTTCGAAGGTGCATCTCCGTACCGTGTTATATGATGAGATTTAAACCATATAACCGATATGCCAAAAATGACATATATAAATTCAGATGGTCCAAAAATGACATATATAAATAAATTCGAAATGAAAATAAAATACAACGCATAATGAGTCTAAAATACAACTACTATATACTACTGCACTACTACGTATGTCGGACTATATCTCACATGGCTCCCTAGCCTTCAATATCCCTTGTCCTCTAGCGATGTCTTCGGTACATCAATGCCTCTCGTGCCTCCATCATGATGGCATCTAAGACCTGCCTCACATCAGATCCATTATAGAAGATACCTATATCAATGTCTGCTTGCGCAAAATCCATTATGCGATGACATCTAGGAAAGACATCATGAGCATGATCTAACTATACCTGCTTATCCTCTAGTATCTTTTGATGAGCTGGCCTCGGTGGATCTCCTGGATCAGTCTGCACCATATACAGATGTGACACCTTGAAGAGCCACCTGATGCACCCGTTGACGTAGCTCTAGTCGCTGTTAGCTATGGTACTATGTGCCTCCTCCGGTACCAAATGACTCTCATAATTATCAAACATGGCGTTCATCTTTCTACGTGTCAAAGCAGGAGGAACAAAGACAACATGGTGTCTGAGAATAGTCTGAGTGTAGGCAAACTACCGCATCACGCACTCGGGCAAATGAAGAGTGATGAGACGTGATCCGCAAGCCAACCATCCCGAGTATAACACTATGTCGTCAAATGGCCGCTTCTCACGGTGATCAACATAACAATTGAAGTGCATGTCCTCGGCAACCAAGCGGTCAAGATACACTATGAACGACTCTATTTCCTGATTCATTCTGAGCGGGACAGATGTAGAAGCACATGGCATATTCTCAGTGTAAGTCAGTACACCCATCCAACCAAAGATTTGCGAGAAGTACTAAAGGATCCAAGCCAAAAAAGTGTTGGAGCACACAAATCATCAGTAATGGCATTGCAAAAACGAAATGAAAATGACATAGAAACATTAAAATACCAATAAATATTATCGTCATCGTCACTAATGTGATGCTTCCCGTGACCTGCTTCGTCTTCCACCTACATACCTCTGATAACTTCGAGTACATGTAGACCAAACAAAAAGACCCTAGTTGTACTCATGGATCTGCGTGAATTCCTCTGAGTAATATAGGTAGACGACATATGTATAAGGGGCACTCTTGTCCACATCCAACCAAATATAGCAGGTATGCTCTCATAGCATACGCTCTATGGAGCCCCACCTGCTCGTCATCACCTCTAGCCTCTTGAGCTCTAAGGAGCTCGTCCATATATACCTTTTTTAGGAATTCAAACCCAACATGAGCCCCTCTGGTTTTTTCAAACTCACTCATGGCATCCTTTAGGTCAACCTCCAAATAGTCTACCATAATCACGATTGCCTCGTTTCTAGTAATCCTCCCATGATCTAGAAGTTTTTCCATGATCGGAAGATGGATCAAATAGGACACATCGTAGAGTGTGATAGACATCTCACCAAGCGAGAGATAAAATGACGAGGTCTCGGTGTGCCATCTCTCCACAAATGCATTAAACATCCCATAGTTGACCGTAATATAACCGGTCATGAACAAATACTTTATCTTAAATAGGGACAAAGTTGCCTGAAACCACTCCTCATTCGGTTGAGGCAAGCCAATAATCTTCCGCCTGTGGTTAATAAACTTCAGCAGATCACGGTTCCGCAGAAAAATAAATCAATGTCAGAAACTTGTAACATAATAATAAATGTAAATTAAAAAGAATGAATCCATCTAATATTACCTCTCAGTCCCAGATAAGTATGGTAGTATGATCTGGGCATAGAGGAAATAATGACAACTCTACAGGGCCTCCTCCAAATACATGAGGTGGCTTTGACTCATTACCCTCATCAACTTTGCTATCTGGAGGTGGAAATGGCTCAACAACATCAGTAGTTGAGGGTGGCATTGGCTCAGAAGCATAATACGTCGGAGGTGGCACTGGTGCCTCAGGTGCCATCGATGACTCTGATACCTCTGGCGCTTGAATAGGTGAAACTTGTCGCTTGCGAGAGGATGAAAAGGATGATGCGTCGGTAGGTGAAACTTGTATCCTACGAGAAGAAAAAGATGGAGAAGCACGAACCGTAAAAGTAGATTCCTCTGTATGACTAGAGTGAACGAGAGCCTCTGAAACTTGAATCTTCTCCCGCAGCACTGGTGCGTGTTAAGCAATCCTCTCGTGCCTTAGCCTATTGTGTCTATCAGCCATAATGTCTATAAGTAAACATGAAAATTAGTACAAGCAATAGTACAAGAAAGAAAATCATAAAAAAATAAACTGAGAATTTCTAGAGATGCATTTCCGCTTACTCGAAAACTAAACGTTGAAAAATTTCAAAGATGTATCTCCAGAATTTTCTGCAACTCTTTAGATCCTTCATTACTGGCAATGCAGACATGTAAACCTTAAACGCAACATGATTTTCAACCAACAATCATGTTTTACAGTATGTATAAACTACCCTTCTTGCAATTCCTACTCATTTCTGACCTAAATAATCATTTTCTACTCATTTACACAAACTCAAAAAATTTATCAAAATATTAAAAACTTATAAATTTAGTGTTGAATGATGTCTCTGATGTCCTTGATGTTGATTGGAGATTATTTGAACTTGGTTGTTTGATTTTGGACTTGATTGATATAATAAATTTTGAGAGAGTTTGAGAAAGTTTTGAGTTTTTTTTAAAATGAGGAAAGAGAAGAGTTCTGGCGCGATTTAAGCTCCAATACCTTCCAGAGATGCATCTCCGAAATACGTTTGAAGATACATCTCTGGAATATTTTAACGTTAAATCAGAATTCTATAAACTCAGGGTGCGTCTGGAGATAGATCTTTAGAATCTGGGGGCATTTTAGTGTTTTCACATGGTGCCTGAGTAATATATATGGTGCATTAAGAAACTTCCTTCTCACTTTTTGAGACCGCGAAAAATGAAAATTTTCCCCCCAAACGCATAAAAAACGTGGCCCAGTTGTGATTCTCTGGAAATAGAAAAAACCTATTTTGTGGATGCAATTGTCGCCTGAGCTTCTTTTTCCTTCTTCTTCTGCATATGATTCTTTACCCAAATTCTATTGTGTGCAATTGGACGAGCTTCTCCTTCTTCTCTTGTATACGATTTGATGCTCGAACTTCCTTCAACTTCGAACTCTCCTTCAATTTACGCACGAGTTTCCTTCAATCTTTACAAGCTCTTCTCTAATTTTCTCTTTTTTTCTGGATACTAATATAACCCTTTCTAGTTTGTAGGTCTCAAACTCTAACAATTGAAGACTTTGTTTGCTCAATATATCTCAAACCTCAAAATGTTTTCGAACCTTTCATATGATTTAATCAAGATTTTTTCAATAGTTATATATATATATATATATATATATATATATATATATATATATATATATATATATATATATATATATATATATATATATATATATATATATATATATATATATATATATATATATATATATATATATATATATATATATATATATATATATATATAAAATACTAAAGATTTATGTGTGCTCATAATTTGCAATTTTTCTTTTAAGCTTTTTCCTCAATCTATATATATATATATATATATATATATATATATATATATATATATATATATATATATATATATATATATATATATATATATATATATATATATATATATATATATATATATATATATATATATATATATATATATATATATATATTAAAAATATATTATTGATTTTGTCTTGTATATAATGTTGCAAATTGGTGTTCCGAGGTTGTTCATGTCTTTACAATATAAGTTGGAAACTAATTTTGAGTTTTGTTTCATGATAGCGATTATCTAACAAGTTAAGGCTAATTAACATTTAAACTTTTGTTTTCTTTATGAGTGGCCTTGCTAGTAGGCTTTTATGAGACTGATTGTGCTTCTTTTATATACTTGAAATGAATTGAGTGATGTCAATTTGCTTGATTTTTTTCAAATTATGTTTCCTCCAAATTCTGTTTGTTAAATTTTATTATCTTCAAATATTTTTGGATTATGTTGTTTCTTATTAGAACATAACTTAAATAAGACACAGTTTGACTATAACATGTATATTATTAAAACATAACCTAAATAACACGACACCGACAATGTAAAAAAATTGTACACTATCAACCAATCACAATCATGAATCTTGTTGAATCAGATTGTGATTTTTAAATTTTATATAACATAGAAAAACGATATGTTCTTATTGGATGATAGTGTAAAACGTTTTTACACTGTTAGTGTATCTCCTTTAGCCGACAATGTAAAAAAATTATACACTGTCAACCAATCACGACCATGAATCTCGTCAAATCAAACTGTGAATTTAAAAAAAATTATATAGCATAACAAACGATATGTTCTTATTGGATGACGGTGTAAAACTTTTTTACACTACTTTCCTCCCCACCTTGACTTGGTTGACTAGTAATTTTTACAATTAAACCAGGATTCACCCTTAACGGCTCATGACCATAATCATGGATTCTTGTATATTGCTCTCTAAATGAACCATCAACAATATCAATAGCAAGTGAGTTAGCCATGTATGCAAGTGTCTTATTGATCCCTACATTCCACTTTTGTTTTGTTTTCGCCATTATATCACTCAACTTCAAATTAGGATTCTCTCTTACATTACTTTGAATTTTTTCCCCAACCATTTGAAATTTAGGAACCTCACCTTATAGTCCCTACTGCATGTGTGCTTGTCCATAATGTTTATCAATTGCCAAGTATTATTATCTTGTAATTTTTCACAGTATGACTCTCATGGATAACCTTTCTTACACATGACTCTCATACTCTTATTATCATTTTTCTTAAAAAGTAGGTTTCTACCAGAATGAATAGCATAAGTTTTAATTCCCTCTTTAAAGTGTTCCTCAGAAGCAAAATAAGTCCCTAATTTCCACTTGGAATCATCCATTCTTTTTGGAAGTTTGAAAGTAGGAAAATCATCTTTTAGACTCTCATCATCTTCAATATCATATAATCATGTGGTAGCTCATCAGTGTCATACTCCTCAATGTCACTCAAACCTCTAAAACTTTCTTTTGTAGCCTCACATTCATTGACATCATCAAATACACCACTACCCTCAACTGCTTCTTCCATAACTTTTTGTTTCTTTGGTCTCCCCTTACCCTTGCTTTTTCCTTTCCCCTTACCCTTACCTTTTCCTTTCATGTTACCTTACCTTTGTCCTTCCCATTTCCTTTTCTTTCATCTATATCAACAACAATTTCTTCAACAATTCCAATTGAATCATCACCAGAATCCCCAAAGATCTCTTTTAACACATTATCATCTTCACTATCCCCACAATATTTTTGGTTACATTTAAGCCCCTCATTTTCTTGGTTACATTCTGCTCTATGATGTACCTCTTGGTTACAAATCAGTCCCTCATATACAGGTTCAGTTTGAACACTCACTAAGTAGGGCGTGCCATCCAATACATCATCTTCTTGGTCACATACCATATGTCTAGTGGTCCCATCTAAAATAATATCCATTGTGGCATCCTCAGACACAATGTCCCCCTCAAATTTAACATCCTGACATGACTTTTTTTGGTTACTGTCCTTAGTGGTTCCATCCATATTAACATCCTCAAATGAAGCTTATTAGTCAACTGCACATGGATCTTAAAATCCCTTGGGCCCTCCTTCTTCAAAATTGTCACATATATTATTCAATTCTTCAATGGTCCCCAAGTTATCAAAAATTCCTTTTACACCATTATTCAATTCATCCAACATGTCATCTTCCTAACCGTCGTCTTCTACAGTATTTGGACCTACATTGTTTTCACCATTTGGACCTACATTAGTCTCAAGAGGCAATATTTGCTCTTCCCCATAAACTAGATGCATCACATAGAGATGAACATTCCCATTGATCAGAGCAATGGTCTTCATTCTATTTTCTCCTGCGTCACCTTGCAACATCACTAGCTCATTATCATCTATTGCATCATAATACCACAGGCTCTCAACTTTTAGGTACCCTAAATTTTTCAACCCACCTAGAATCTCAAAATAACTCCAAAAATCCGGGTCAACGTGCCAAATCTCCTCTAAACCATTGTAACCATATTTGTTATACTCACCAAATCCACCCCCATGATGGATAACACACTCAAACCTATCACCACTCATCACCTAGTCATACAAGATACCTCAGAAATCACACATCACAGTAAAAGAAATTGTAAATACAAATGCTTTTTAAAATGATGAGTTCATACACATATCTTTTTAAAATGCTTGACTTTCTACGTATCTTCTTCTGCTACCGTCTTCGCAAACTATCGTCGCCTTTAACCACAACCGTCTTGTTCTTCGCAGCTGCTAGGTTTTTTTTAAGGAACGAAAAAGTAACAATGAAGTTTTGAGAGTAGCTGAAAAGTTTAGGATATTAGTTACTTAAAAAAGAAAACAAAAATGATTTTAGCAATACCAAAGGTCTCCTATTGACACATCAGAAAGAAAATAGTGTGGAAAAAAAAACAATGGCACCTAAGTATCAAAAAATGTCACATAGACGTATTTTAACGTTTTTTCCAAAGAAACTAATAGAAGGAATTTATTGTGCTAACGAAGTGTCCTTAAAAGATTACATTGGAACATTTTTTAATTGTGAGACTAATTAGAAATAACAAAATAATTTAAAAGACTAAAAGATAAATTAAATCTAATAATAATTATGTTTTTAATTTAAGTCAAAATGTTCAAATGTCTTGTAATTTAGAAGAAAGATTCAAAACTTGTTATAATTTGTGGAGGGAGTATTCAACAATATTCAATTTCACTATGGGTATCTTTCTATTGATGGAATCAGACAGCATGAAACTAATGGAATGTCAATGCTTGAATTCTACCATCATATTTGTATCTTGCTTCATTTTAAAATATCCAAACAATAAAATAGTATTTTTTTATTTTGCTCTATTTCATTCTCATTCGCATTTTTCTTTTATACTCTATCATTTTATGATATCTAAAGCACAACTTAAATTTCAAATTAGTGCTCTTGATATCTCAGAGAGTTAAGCAACTATTTTATGGTGAAAATGAAATTAATATTCAAAATAGATTTTATTACATTGTTGTCTAGTAATAATTATAATCATGTCATTGCATGAGTTCATTCGTGAATCACAACCCTTGAATTATATTTACATAAAAATAAATAAAATTCAAAGTGGAGAGATAGAGAGGAGTGAATCTCAAACTAATTTATTTCTTGAATATTCTCTTCTCTTTTCCTTGTTATCTCATTTAATCATATTTTAACAAGTTTAATTTCAACTTGCAAGTGCTATAATGTCACATTGAGCTAATCAAATTAATATCTTAGTTCTAATATGTCATACAGATTAATTAAATTAAACAGTTTATTGAGCTCCAAACCAATATCACAAGAGAATGGAACAAAAAATGGTTTATTCAATTGTTTAAATAAATATCTGTAATGTTATGGATTATGCTGACATTATTGCTTACGTTTTTATTTTATTTTATATAATTCATAAAATAAATTAACAAGTGGGTTTGCAAGTTGCAATTTTTGTCCAAATTGGGCTAAGTTTTGTGATATCATTGTATCATCAAATTGGTCAATATTAAATACATAATTGACTTCAAGTGCGAATGACAAACAAGATATAACTTGTTTTTTTTCCCAACAATCCTGAAACAATTCTTCATGAGTACACCACTTTCAACTACGATATTTTTATATTGATTTCCACTTACCTTTAATAGTTGAACAATGTTTTAAAAATATGATAAGAGAACAAAATACTGTGTCGACAAAACGATTTTGGTAGATGTCATTATCAATAATGTTATCACCGTTTTTAAATTAAAAAATAAATTGTGGTTAATTTGTATCGAATAATCTGTGAAGTGACATCTATACCAACCAAAATTGCCAAAGTTTTACTGCTTCCACCAACAAACTCCAGTATTTGTCTCTCTTTTCATCTTTAGAGCATCTCCAACCGTGAACTCATTTTTGGGTTCTTTGTGGGACTTATTAAGTCACATCAGCTTGAAGCAACTCAACTAATTTTTCACTCCAATGATGCAATTCTGAAGAACTCATATTGGGTCCCACAAGTTTACTTTATATGTTAATATTTTATTCATATTAAATTTTATATCACTTAAAATAATAATTTTAATTTTTTTACAGAAAATCATTTCAATCTACTATATAGTCCAACCGGTATATAGTGTTGTTTTAAGGAAAAATATTTCATTCTACTATATAAACTTAAAAAAAATTAGATTAAATTTTAAAAAATATTTCAATCTCTCCTTGGTTAATTTTAGTGTTTTAAATTAAATTTGATATAAAATAAAAAAAATTAAAATTAAAATTATAATTTAAAATAAATAAAAATAAAATCAATAAAATTCAAATTAAACTTATAATTTAAACTTATAATTAAAATATAGTTTTTATATTATAAAATCAATATTTTAATATTGTAATTATAATTTTCATGTGATAATTAAAATGATAAATAAAATTTTATATTAAATTATAATTTTTATATTATAAAATTAATATTTTAATATAAGAACAGTTGAAGAACTGTTGCTTAATTAAGCACCGTTCAACAACATGACAATTTTGAAAATAACAAATATGAGTGTCATGTTGACAAACTGACTCTAAGAACTCCCATTGGAGTTTGTGTTATGTCTTTATATATATATATATATATATATATATATATATATATATATATATATATATATATATATATATATATATATATATATATATATATATATATATATATATATATATATATATATATATATATATATATATATATATATATATGTCTAAAGACTCACACTCATTCACATGACTTCTTTCACCTATTATTCCTCTCTACCATCAATCATCCAAATCATGAACAAAGTTGATAAATCTCAAGTTATAATTCTCTCTTTCCTAGCTTTTCTCGTTGTGATCACACACTTTTTACCTTCCTCTATAAGGCCTGGTTACCTTTACTTAATCTTCAACATCATTATCATTGCACTTGCTGCTCAATCCGGACTTCTCTCAGCATTCTCTGAGCCTTCAGAAGACAAAAAACACCATGTTTATGTGTCTTCTAAGCACAAACATACAATGCAAGAACTAGAAGAAAAGGATGCTTCAACCATAAACAATGAAAATTTTGTCTCAGAAGAGCAAAAAGTTAAGAAGCCTAAGGTTGTTGAAAAATCTGCATCTGAGAAGAAGATTGTTTATGTTGATAATAAGGTGAAAAAATGTGCATCAATGCCAAGTCTCTTTTATATTGAAGATGGTGAAGAGGATGAGGAGGTTGAAGTAGAAGATGAGATTTGTGGTGTTAATGGACAAGAACTTTTTGCAAAAGCTGAAGCTTTTATTGGAAACTTCTATAAGCAGTTGAAGATGCAGAGAGAAGAGTCTTGTGCTTCTTAAAAAGCATATTTAGGACTTTTAGTTTTTTTTTTTTTGGAGGAATATAAATAATTTTCTAGTTGTGACGAGGATCCATGGTACAAATTTTGATCTGGAATTAGAGTTTATGTTATGTTTGCCTTGTTAGCTAATATTCATTTGTTCCGGTATGGGCCTCACCTCGGCAGGCCCAATACCAAAGGCGGCCCAGCAAGCGAACTGGGCACCCCCGGCACGCGCCCCTTCGGACGAGCAGGGCTGGACAGACGGGCTCAAGCTACCGCTCCACGTCCCTTTTTGGCGTCCATCACGCCGGACGAGCAAGACCACCCCGGGCTCCCTCCGCGGGAGAATAACGTGCTCGGCGCACGTTCTCCACGTGCTCCCCTCCGCGGGGACACGTCATCGGCCAACCGCCCACCTCCGAAAGAGCAGGTCAAACCCACTTTCCGGAGACCTAGGAGCGGTTGAACTAGGGCGAAGACCACGTCCTGGTCTTCACTACGCCACGTAAGCCCTAGCAGTCATTAGGGTTGGGCCTGGTCGTCTGGCCCACCTCGAATGACCGTTGGCCCAGCGCTGGGGTCTCTCTATAAATACCCTCTTCTTCAAGAGGGTCAGGTAACTCTTCTTGCCCCCTTTTCTGTACTATTGCTTCCTCTCTGTCCAACTTCTTACTTGGGCGTCGGAGTGCTTGGCGGGTACACCCCCCTCCTCGTTCTCACCCCGGCGAACAGATAATAGCCCAACGGTGTGTGGCCAGTCCGTGATTCCTCCTGATCAGGTCAGATCATCATTTTTCGTTATTTTCTTATTATAAAGTTCATCTAATTAAAAGAAAATGGAAATATTGCACTTACTTTCTTTGAGACATGTTTAAACTATATTTATTTAATTAGGTGCAACTCATAATCTTTATTTGTTTTACTATTGGGAATTATAAGTATAAAATGCAATGTCATAAAATGTGAGAGATGTCATGAATTAATTTTAGATAATTTGGAGACTTAAAATTTTATGTAAACATGAGATAACATATTTACCATTTTGTTTGATCATTTATAACATAGCCATTTGTGTAACCTCTTCATACTTTAGCATTTGATCATGTCTTCACAATATTAATTGTCTTCATCAAAACATCTTACTTGAAGGCTTGACTTTACACTTTCTAGAAATTTCAAAATTTCTCTCATGTGGCATTGAAACTATTCCTTTCAATGTATGAGGTGTTAGTGTAGGTGCAAATCCAAGAGAAAGGAGACTTGGAATTCTATTTTGACTAAGTTGCAAAAATAATTGACATCATGGAATGGAAGGGTAGACAAATGTTTATATGAGGTAGAATTGTTATGTTAAATTAAGTTATGTCAAATATACCTACATACTACTTATTGTTTTTCAAAGCTTTTAAGAATGTGTTTGGAAGAGGCAATTCAAAATTTTTAAGGAATTTAAGATTTTAAAAAATTTAAATGATACAATTAAAACCTATTCGTTTTTAAATTCTTTATTTGAACGGAAAATGATTTATATTTAAAATTTTGGAGTCATTTTCATCAAATTAAAAATTTTTGGACCAAATTTAAAATATGAAAAATAGGAACTAATTTGTAAATTTTAAAAATTTAAAGAGACTAATTTATAAAATTTGAAAATTATAAGGGACTTATTTGCAATTTTTAAAAAAATTTTAATGATGAATTTGAAATTTTCATAAAATATGAAGACCAAATTGCAAAATTTAAAAAATTAATAATAAATAATATAACATTTGCATTATATAGAGTGAGCGAGTAATTTCAAATTCTACATTTTTTGATGTCGTTTGAAATTTCTTAAATTTAACTTAAATAAAATACTTTATAAATTTACATCATTTTAACAATTTTCTATATTTTTTTATCCAAACAATATATTTTAATAAATCATTTTAAATTTTTACAAAAAATTATTTTCCTTCCTTAAAATGCTCAATCCAAATACACTATAAGACTATTGTGAAAGTCATAACAACCAAAAAAAAAAAACAACGTTGAAGGCAAAAATATAATTTGTTTTAAAAAAAAAATTTGAACTTTATATTATGATAATGACAAATGAATATTTGCATACACAACTGACATAACATAACCTCTAATTCCAACTCAAAATCTGTACAATGGGATCCTCATCACATCACAACTAGAAAATTATTCATTCTTTAAAAAAAAACAAAAAACAGCTAATTAATAAATATGCTTTTTAAGAAGCATAACCGCACTCTTCTCTCTGCATCTTCAATTGCTTATAGAAATTTCCAATAAAAGCTTCAGCTTTTGCAAAAAGTTCTTGACCGTTAACACCACAAATCTCATCTTCTACTTTAACCTCTTCATGCTTATTCACTTCTAAATCATCTTCTTCATCTTCTATATAAAAAAGACTTGGCATTGAAGGACACTTTTTCACCTTATCAACTTTACTTTCACCAAATGCAGATTTTTCAACCATCTTAGGCTTCTTTACTATTTGCTCTTCTGAGACAGAATTTGCACTGTTTATGGCTAAATCTTCCTTATCTTGTGATTCTTGCATTGCATGCTTTTGCGTAGAAGACATAGAAACATGATGTTTTCTGTCTTCTGAAGGCTCAGAGAACGCTGAGAGAAGTCCCGCCTGAGCAGCAAGGGCAATGATAATGATGTTGAAGATTAAGTAAAGGTAACTAGGCCTTAGAGAGGAAGGTAAAAAGTGTGTGATCACAAGGAGAAAAGCTAGGAAAGAGAGAACTATAACTTGAGATTTATCAACTTTGTTCATGGCTTTGATGATTGATGATAGAGAACAAGAAAAGGTGAAAGAAGTTATGAGAAAAAAGATGAAGAAGAATAAGCATGAGAATGAGTGTAGGGTTGTAGACATATATATACAAGACATAATAAAAGTAGAACTTGTTGGTAGCATTATTGTTGTAGACACAATATTTTGAGATCTTATCAGATTTTTAAAACATTGTTAAAAGTGTTGTGTTCATATTGTGGAGTTTAGAAAGCAACAAGCTATATAGTTTGTCTCATAATACATATACATGAAGTCAATAATGAGGTACCTACTAGGTGAGCAGGTAGATAGCTAGGCTGTTGATTGATTGAAATATTTCTACATATATTTAATATTTACCAATTTGATCAAAATGATATCATAAAGTTTAACTCAATTTGGATAAGAATTGCTACTTGCAAACCCACTTGTTACTTTATTTTAGAAAGAATATAAAATATGCTATCAATAATGTCATCAATATCAATAACATTGCATATATTTAACCATTTTCTTCTTCTCTTCATTCTTTTATGATATTGTTTAGGAATTCATTAAAGTATGTAATTAACTAATATGTATGACATATTAGAAACAAGATATTAATTTGATTAGTTGAGTTTTGGCCCAAATGTTAGGATTATGTGACATTATCACATTTGCAAATTCATGCTAAACTTGTTACAATATAATTAAATGGGATAACAAGGAAAAGAGAATATACAAAAGTGAAATTTTGATTTTCGTTTTTAGAAAAGAGGCTTGATCCTAAAAATATTACACAATAATGGACCTAGGAGTAGTAGAAATTCAATACAATCAAAAATTAACTTGAGTGGGAATTTGTTTATAAAAAGTCAAATTAGAACTTAGATTTCAACTCTAGGCAAGAGTATTTGCACCAAAATTTGACTCTAGATATATATCACAAACATGAACCTCAAAATTCAATTGAAGCAACTGTTAAATTTATTGTATCAAAAGAATTATAATTATATTTCGGTAACCGAAATATTTTGAACAACCAGTTTAAAATCTATATAAAATTCAATAGTTTGGAAACCAAAATCTTTTATTAATGTTAATCCTTCTAATACACACCATAATTCAATAATATAGTCACTACTTTGAACCCAAACATTTTGAGAAACCTCCAACCCACTATTTGTCCTAGATTTTTAGCTATACAAAAGGTCAACAAATTAATGGTCAAGCTACGTCGACATTACTAAATGTCTAAAATATTAACCCCAAAGCTTTGACATAGTAGTTGTATTGATATGTTGGTTCGACTAGCTGCAAGTGGAGTCGAGGACAAGAATGATTTGGAGGAGTCTCATGAACAGATCCAAAAGCTTAGGATCAATCTTTCTTCCAAAGATGTTCAGAATCTTAAAGATCACATAACAACCATTCAACGCGAAGTTGAAGTCGACACATCTAAGTGTTAAAGACTTAAGATATTTCTAAGTCTTAATACTAAGTGATTTGGAAATGCATCCACCTTTTGACATAGGCAATTAATGCCTTCAAAGATTGTTATCGCTAATTATCACCACGTTCTGGTTGGTTTTCAGCAGTTACATCCTTGAAGACATGTGGGGGCAAGTTGGAACATGAAGGTTTAAGTAATGGGATACGTGTTAGATTTATAGGGTTTAATCGTGGTCAACAGTTTTTTTTTGTAATAGTATATAATACAAACTTATGCATTATAATCAGGGTCGCAAATTATCATCAGTTTCTCTTCAGAACCAAAGTACTAATGTCACAGAGCAAAACAGTTTGTGAGACATGTGAGTATGCGTCCACCATTTAAACTTTCTGCAAATCTTTTTGTATTCAAAGTATTTACATTAAATGTTATTTACTTCTTTTACTTTATTTGTCATTTACTGTCTTTGTTTGATGTTTACCTTCTTCTGCATTGAATTTGTCGCTATTCAAACGTTTAAATCCCTATAACACACACTTTTTGCTGTAATTTTTCTTTGCACAAATTATCTTTGAGTTAATATTTTAAGTGAACTAAACTTGTGATTTTTCACTAAAAACATCAGTAAATGAATTAGCGCACCAACTTTTGTGTAAAGAGTTTAGTTTTTTTTTATAGAAAAGTTGTGTCTCTTTTGTCCAAAAAATTTGTTCTTGGTTTATGAAATGACTTCGGTTATCGATTGTGTATGCGTTTGAGGAGCAAAAAGTCTCTTCCTGAAATAGCACGGACACCGTCTAGAAATCTTCCCCCTCCCTAGAACAATGCTCCGAGCTTAGAAGAACATCCTGTCGAATCGACGACGAGAAATGTTGAAACTTCAACTTTTGTTGGAGAAATTCCCACCATTATAACTCAAATAACGGTGTCAATTGTATCACTAGAAATTGTGGTATCCTTATCACAAGTAACAAGCGTGCTCACTACCCCTAGGGCTATGAAAAATTTGATAGAAGACCAAAGGCTCCCTTTTCCCTTTAGTTTCACGTTACCTTAAAATGGTAAGGAAAAACCTTATGGCATGCTAACTGCAATGATGACAAGCCTGCACCCTAGTGCTTCTATGTATACAGATAATGCAATGGTTATTGCATCACTTGTAAATCCATATTTAGCATCAGGGTATGCGATTACCAACCTTGGTTAAATGGCACAACAAGCGATGTCATCCTTAACCAATAATTCTCTAGAGTATGTAAGACAACAGTATTAGATGATAAGCTTCAATCTAGAGGAGGGTGAATATATCATAAATTTAAAACCAAATTTTTTGGATAAGATTTGTTTTCAAAAATTTATGGCACATCAGAAACAACCCGAATCAAATCGTCTAACCGAACCTACTATCGAAAAGCTTGGATATGCATAGTAAAAACTGATGGAATGATAATGGACACAAATTGTTCAACAACGATTAATTCAGGATTAATCAAATGCAAAGCTATTCGTAAAGCTTATTTTCAATTAACACAAAGCGATAAAATTACTCAAAGATAGCTTATCGAACACTTTGTGTGCGATCGATCACATTTGGAAATTCAAGAAATATATATATATATATATATATATATATATATATATATATATATATATATATATATATATATATATATATATATATATATATATATATATATATATATATATATATATATATATATATATATATATATATATATATATATATATATATATATATATAGAGAGAGAGAGAGAGAGAGAGAGAGAGAGAGAGAGATTTGTTTAGGAAGTTCCCCAATCGGCCTCGCTATGGGTACGTCTGCCCTCAATCCGAAATCGAATTGAGATACTTGCCTTTAACCTTATCGTTTAAAAAATGTTTATACAAGAGATGAAGAACTCTAACCCCATAAACCCTATGGTTTGTTGTTGATTCAACCACCTTCAAACCCTTTATCAAAGCTTAATCAAGTCACCATCATGCGGATACAATTCACTGTCCCGCGCTACCCCTTGAAAAGAAACCACCTTGTGTCAAGGCCTTCACTCGGTTGAATCCGAGTTGACGTGATCTTATCCAAAACCTTAAAATCCTAATGATCTTGAAGGAAAACCCCACCTTGGTTTTCTTGTTTAAAACACACAAAGATCACAACCCAATATTCTTGGTTACATCAACCTAACTAGCCGTTATCAACCCTAATCTAGATGGTCACCCAATAGAAAAATGATTATGTGTAGCTCAATTGTATGTATGCATAGAAAAAGGTTGAATATGATGAGAATGCTTTGTAATCTGGTTTCTTTTAGGTAATTCACTAGTACCTTGCTAGAAAAATATGCATGTATGAGTATATATATGTATGTGTGTGGAAATAGGTAAAGAGGATGCAAGAAAAATAAGATGCAAAACAAAATTTTAAGTTTTTGAAAGCTACAGATCGGCCTACGAAAGTAATAGGTCGGCATGAGTGAGGCGACCTATGGACAGAGCCCACGGGCTTTAATATTGATGTGTGGAAGTTGACCTAAAATTCTATGCGTTGGCTTATACTGAAGCAAATACTTTTATAGGTCGGTCTAAATTTTTATGTGTCGGTCTATACTGAAGCAAAAGCTTATATAGGTCGATCTGAAAATGTATGTGTCGGCCTGTGCAAGAGTGTTCACACATAAAACATAGTTTTTGATGTATGAAACATGCCTATACATTTCCTATCATTTTCAAAACCATTTGTATGCATCATAAGGCTAAAATGATTCAATACACATCTAAACTTTGGTTGGTACCACCCAATATACAAAAACGCTAAGTCGCACTCCTAGTTTTGACATCATCCAAAACATAGCCATGTTTTGGAATACATTCGCACTCGCATACTCCCCCTTTTTATGATAGAAAAACTTGAATCATATAGGCATTGCATTTTTATTCGGTACACTTAATAGCTCCTCCTGAATTTGTGCATTATCCTCTTCCTAATCTTCTCCCCTTTTAACAACATCAAAAATAGACAAGTAGTTCGTTAGAAGCATCACATAGATGCACAATTCGCATATATCTTATACTACACAGAGGCAATTACAAAGAATAAGTGGTGCACTCACATACAAAACATATGTAAATATAACAGGAATAATAGAACACTACAACATGCTTAAGAGTTATTTAAGTCACACACATAGTACAACCAATAAACATCTTAGACTATTGTTCATACAAACCAAAAACAAGCAACAAACCATAGGAAAATGAAAATGCAGCAAACCAAACTCAAAAGTCACAAGCAAGACTTAAATGGACTTCTAGTGACTTTGAGAGACTTATAATGACTCATGAACAATAAGTTGATGAGAGACACATGCATATGATAGATTTTTATGGTTTGTTTGCTATAATCATGCAATCATGTAAAATTCAAGCATGAATTGGTTCAAGATAAAGATGAAAATGCGATAACATTTGAATATAGTTACTATAAACATCTAGAATGCAACATACAACAATCACATTAAAAATTTTAGAAGCAAAACACACATCATA